GGGGCGCGGAAGGCGCCGGCCTGCTGCAGCCCGAGCTGCTTGTTGCGCTGGAACTTCTCGTCTCCACGTCCTCGGCGGCCTCGTGCGGCGGGCGTTGTAGGCCTCCGTGGCATTGGCCACGTGGTCGTCCCACTTGCCGCCACGGCGGGCCACCTTGCCCGCGAGGTCCTTCTTGACACAGCCGGCGACAAGCGGCATCGGAGCTGGTTGCGCTCGGTCCGTTGCTCCGACGCGACAAACTGGTAGAAGCAGTCACGCAAGTCTGTCCCGGACGAGGACCTCAGTTGGCTCGAGAAGAATCCCCCAAGGCGGCGGCGGAGGCCAGCATGCACCCAACGTGCCGGAAAGGCTTCAAGCTGATTAGCGGCCTTGGCATCCAGCACCAGGCGATCCCGCTCGGCATCCTTGGCTACACAGAAGAGGCCTGCGCCCCAGTCCTCACGAGCAGGGGCGACATGCTTCAGCGGCTCAAGCCGCCCAGTGATAGCAAGGTTCCTGAGCAGGCGGATCCTCTCGGCAGGAGAGGCGAGGATCTTGACAAAAGGTGGCACATCACTGAACCCGCGCAAAATTCAGCGGCTTATTATAGCACAAGGCGGTCGTACGATCCATGAAAGCTTGAGGGTGGAAGGCTGGCTTTGCAGGCAGCTTCACACGCTCGGCAATGATGGGCTTTGCTGCAACGGGAGGCTTCCCAGGAAGTTGCCCGGAAGGGGTCACACAGGAGGCACGCGAGAAATCAGGCGGAGACGGCTCCGGGTGCCGAGAAGGAACATAGCCCGCGAAGGCTTGGCGTCCAACGCCCGCGCTTGATCCTCGAGCTTCTGACCCACACGGCCGTAGTCAGCCGCTTCAAAGGAGAGGGGGAAAAAGCTGCCAAACACAAGGTGCTCTAAGTTGCGGACGGCCTTCCACTGGCGAGCATTCAAAGGCACGCCTGAACGCAGGGCGGTCGGGCAAACAGTAGGCCTGCCAAGGTGCAGAAAGGAAAGCTGCATGACACTTAACGCAACCAGCTTTTTCTTCCAGAAACTGGCGGACGAGGCAACCGTACGGAAGGCTTCAGGGTACGGGTTAGGGCATGGCCAAGTGTAAGGCGCGGGCTGGCAATCATCAGCCGTAGTGCAAAAGGATGAGCGGAGAAAGGAGGCAAAAGGGCCCCCGGCTTGCAAGCACAGGCGGGGGAACGAATTGACAAGCGATGGCACACGCAGGCTAGGAGCGGCTGCCCCCGGCGGCGAGGACGGTGCAGCTGCCAGGCGCCATCGCGCCGCCTTCGGCTCCGGATCGGCGGGGTCTTCGCGCTCGGCCTGCTCGGAGCGCTTGGTCGGAGCAGCACGGTTCTGGAGGCGGGAGCGCTTCTCGAGAAACTCGGCCTCCTCCTTCAGCCTGGCCAGGGCCACCGTGCGTCCAAAAGTCCCTGCTGCCTGCTCGCGACGACGGAACGATGCCATTGGCGGGGGTAATTCCAATGACAATTCCTGTGACAGGATCCATGATCCTTTGTCGACTGCGGCCTGGTTGGCCATAAGGAGGGCGATGTTGAGGCGAGCACGCGCCTGCTCCGGGAGCCCTGCACGGAGCGCATCGAGAGCCCCTCCGCACCAGGGACGGCAAGCCGCCTACGCGAGAGCGATGCTCCAGCCAGCCTCGAGCCGAAGTCAGCTGAGGCGCTCCGATCCCAGGGGTCGACACCGACAGATCCTCCGCCATCAGATTCTCGATCACATTCGAGATGTCGCTTGGCGAGAGAAGCAGGGAATCCCTCAAGGCTTTGCGGACCGCTGCATTGCGGCAAGTCAAAGGTAAGCCAGACTTGTGAGACCCAGAGCTGCCCAGGCAGATAGCGATTGGCGATGCTGGTTGTTGCAGAACCTGACCATGGCCTCTGCAAAGGCATCGGCAGACGGGCGCGGAGAGGATAGCTCTCGCGAACCACCACCTCCTATAACCTGGAACCGATCGCCCTCCTCCTCCTCGGACTCGTCGAGCGGAGTTGCTTTCCTTGGCAAGCGGACCTGTCGACACCAAACGATGCATCTCCCCAGGCAGCCGACACTACCCCTGGATCTAAACCCGGAAAGGTGGAAGCTGCTGCAGCGGTTGAGGGGCCTGAGCCCCGCACGGGGGGTAGGGGAGCCTGGACCTTGCGACCTGAGGTTATGGCACCTGGAAATGCAAGAGAAGGCGCTTCCGGCAGAAGGGCCAACACGGGCGATCACATCGTCGCCACCCCCCCCCGCCTTCGGAAGCGGTCTGCATGGGCGTGGCGGAGAGCCGGTCTCGAAGGACAGCGGCCAGGGCGTCGGCAGGTCGTCGACAACCTTGAGAAAGGGTTCGCAGGCCGGCTCGGAAAGGCCGAGCCACACACGAATGGCCACGCCCGGCAATGCTTTCAAGCGATCGTTGATCGAGCATGCTGCAACCTCAGCAGGGAAGACTCTCGCGAAGCCCTTCAGGACAGTCCTCGAGGCAATCTTGCGACGCCAGGCGGTGGCAGGAAATGCAAGCAAAATGGAAGGGCCAGGCTCGCCCACAATGCAATGCAATGAACTGTCACAGGGGATCCTTCAGCGTCCTCGCCGCACTCAAGCAGCAGCGGGCACTCAGCGTCCACGAACCCCTCACCAGCTGCCAAGGCGTCACGAGGGCCCAACGGCTCTCCGTCCTCCGGGCCCTCGGCCTCGGCCATCTCACCAAGAAAAACCCCACACACAGCGATCACGTCCTGGCGAGCAGGCAAGCCGATGCAAATGCTGTCTCCAAGGTCAGACCCCCTCTTGCAGAGAGCAGCGCAGTCGGAGAACCTCTTGCACACAATGACTCCCTCAAAATCCCGAACAACAATCCACAAGCGCGAGGCCAAGTTCAGCCGATCACGGCCTGATGCCCCACGATGGTCCCCGGCAAGGCACCGACGCAGGAACAGCCCGATTTCTCGACACGCAGCAGCCCTTTCAGCGGCCGAGAGCCCAGGAGAGGCTTGACTTGCGGGCGGAGAGGCGGCAGGAGAGGCCCAGGCCGACGGAAGCCCGCTCGCGCCAACACGGGGGGTTGTAGGGGGAGCACTCGACCCGACCGGGTCGACAGAGGCACGGATTAGGGTGGCAGGCAAAGGTGGAGGTGGCTCTGAGATCACAGCAAAAGAGGCCTCGGAGTCCTCTTGCTCAGCACGAAGAGTAGTACGGAGCTCACGCACCTCCAGCGTTAGCTGGGCAACCAGATCCTCAAGATGGCTTACCCTGAGCTCAAGGGACATGCAACCACCAGCCCTAACCTAACCCCTACGCCCTCAGAGGAGGCGGTATAGGAAAGGCCGTGCGGCCTGATCCGTTGCAGCACAGGCCACTCAAGCCAAGAAACCGATGGACAAGCAGAGTGGACCCAAGAAAGGTCAGAAGATGAAGAAGAAGGGACGTAGCCGACAGCGAACTGGCCCCTACCAAAGCCCTGCTTTCCATGAACCGAAAGAACTTCAGCATCCTTTGCTAAGTGCATGGAGAAGCACGTATGTATGTATGTATGTATGTATGTATAAATGATGTATGTACATATGTACGCATGTACGTACGTATGTATGCATGTATGTATGCATGTATGTATCTATGTAAGATAATATATATGAATGAAAAATCAACCGAACTTCGAGGATGCTCCGCACGAGAGCGCGATTTTGAACGAACGATCAACCAAATTTTCAGAATGCCCCGCACGGGAACGCCATTTTCTTCAAAATGTTCAGGACTTGATAGTCATAACACTGCCAAAACACAAATTGCCAAACCCAAACACTCACAAGTTCGTGGGTGTCTCAACCATCCATGGCAGTGACACCATGGAGACAAATTGCCAACAATGACGGCATAAAAAGAAATCCCAAGGCCGACTCTCAAAAAAACACACCGCTCTCGCCTGTCACCCGACCAAGCCCCGTAACCCTCAACCCTCAAACGCTTCAATCAAACCTGAAACCCCAAACACGAAATCGTAGACCCTAAACCACCCATAGTATCAAACGATGTCCAGCCCCGTAGTATTCAATCATCCGCTGCCTGAAAAACTGATTTAATATTACTAGTAAAGGGGATGTTTATTGAAAGGATTGTATGGGGCTCCTGCTAAAGCCCTTGTAAAATCCTGCTCTACATCAATTGAAAACTAACAACACCCATTGCACAAACTAAAAATTAAGATCAATCAGCACCTACTTTAAATCAACGTAAAATCTAAGCCGAACTAATTCGGAAAATAACTACGATCGAAGCACATCCACCTCATACCATTAAAGTTCAAATCAAGATCGGATAAAAAGAAGCCACATACTGTAAAAACTAATTAGCACCAGTTAAAATCCAAGTGAGATCAATCAAATCTAATTGAATCAATGTGACAGGTCATTACGATCCATCGACAACTACCTGAACTCAATTCAAGTTGCAACGAAAATCCACAAATAATCTAATCAAAGTACTTCGGAATCCGATTGGGATCTATTGCAACCCATTGAAAATCAACCAGAATCCAAGTAAATCAGCCTAAATTTAGTTAAAGCCAATGAGAAACAGTTTAGATGTTATATAAACTCCTCTATTTATGAAATTCTGCATTCCTTGTGCTTCCCCCTTGAGACCTTCCTTGCTTTCTTCCTAGGTTCCTTCTATGTTTCCTTTCTTTCCTGTCGTTTTCTTTCAGCGGTCCTTTCCCTTCATTCCTCTCTTTCTGTCGTTTTTTGCTTCTAAATCTAAAGCCATTAAACTTCCAAACGGAAAGAGCAAAATGAATGACAAAAAAAAAGTACCCTACCCCATCAGGGAGGCAGAGCTTGAGGCTTGACCCCCAAACACAGATTCCAACATTTTCCGACATGTCCTACATGCCACACATATTCCATCACATTCCTCCTTCAGCGGTCTGAGGGTTGGTGGAATCATGTAAACATCAAACAGCTAGCATCTAGCACATGTGGTCCCAAAAGGCCGCACTCCCTGCAGCCGTGGTTCTGCCCCTACCTGCTGTTCACGCATCCTTGCCTCAGCAAACACGCTCCAGCTGCCAAGCAGCTAACCTACAACACCATCAGCACAAGGGATTGGGCTTTTCTTTCGGAGCGCTTGGCGGCACGCTGCATCCTGGCGCACCGCGACCCGCGTCAGCCGTCAAATCGAGCATGCATTTCAGAGCATCCGGCTGCAAGCATTTAGCTGCAACTTGTTGTTCCAACTCCTGATCACGGCAACACAGCAGGAGCGACAATTGCACCACATTGGCGTCGTCACCTTGATCCGCTCTTCTGGCGTTGACCTTGCAAGCGGAGTTTAGCATCCGCCTGGCTACGCACAGAGATGCGCAGAACAACTGGGTGCAGCACAAACTTTTCAATTGCCTCTCCAATTCTTGGGCCTTCCGAAACTACATACATGTTTCTGCACGACATCCTTGAATGCTGCAAGTTGCTTGGACTGCTTGGATGCCTTGCACTAAGAGAAGCTTGTGTATACTCTCGTGTTGACAACTACGAATCCACGACACAAAGAAAAAAAACAAGCAGCATCTGCCGCAGGCTTCGGTGACTTCAGAAGATGGCATGCCTTGAGTTTCAACTTCTGGCCTGGCAGCACAATCCTGCCCGACCAAAACTCAACGCAGCACGAAGCCCTGAGCTTCCAACATTCAAAAAAAAGCTGGTTTTGGTCCTGGCATAAAAGAAGCATCACAAAGACAATTTCTCGTTCCAGCTCATGGCTACCAGCTACAGGTTGCTAGAGCACATCTTGCCTCCATGTCCTTACCACTTGCCTTGGTGACTACTGTGCGTGATGAACATGTGAGACATGGAAAGGTGACACATTGGAGGTTGTTTGCCAAACCAGAACATGCGGCTCAGCTTGACGCTTTTTCAGCCAAGCGACCTCCCTCCTCAACGATGACAGTCAATTCCAGGTATACTAACGCGTGCATGTCACACCTCCGTGGCCAGAATGCTGTCGCAAGCTGCTTTCCGTGCATCAACCCGCACCTGCCAAATAGCGACTGAAGCTGGTACCATTTTGCACGAACAAAATGGTTGGGCAGCCTGCGCAAGCAGATCGTTTTCAGCATCCGACAGGCCTCGATGCAGCAGGACGGCAAGCTGCACGAACTCTGTGGTATTCCACAACCAACAAATGGCATCAACCAAGTCCAGAACGGAGCCTGTTGAGCGCTCCTTCTTGACCCTGGCAAATACAAAAATCGATTCAATAACTTCAGGCCACCTGCTAGAATTCAAGTTCTACCACATTGTTGGCTCTGCCAGGTTCTGCCAAGCTTAGCCACGTGGCCGGGATGCCTCAATTGGCTCCTCACTACCACCATCAACCTGACATGCAGCATAACGGATTTCCAACCTTGCACGGAAAACACCGAGCACATGGCGCCCAGCAGAATGTTTTCATACTGCCTGCACAACCGATTGGCCCGCCCAGTGGCGATTCTGAGATGTTCATATTCCAAGTTGGCACGATTAAGGGCGCAGCTTACGTTTCCCAGTCTCCATTTCCAGTCGAGTTTTCCGGTATGTTGTCCTGGGGAGTCCCCTCCCTGCAATGAAACATTTGAGACAACACTGAGCATGCATGAGCATGCCAACTCATCCGAGGCCACAGCTCATCTTGCTGCAAGGAAATGGCCTGACTCATCCACCAACCAACCGCTCATGACCCATTGGCAGCGCATGACTTGCAGTCGATACATGACAACACATCGAAAGGACTCGTGCTCGCAGCTAAGGAGCCTCGAGCATGTGCGCGGCAACTACGCTGGGATTCACCTGCCCAACGGCACACAAGGCCCTTCGTCTAACCGGCAATGTTCCCCAACGAGGAGCCAACTGCTGCTGCCACGACAGGTCCTACTCACAGGACAGCGACAGATTTGCCATATGGGGCCAAATGCACTTCAGAAAACTGTCAAATGATTCGCGCTAAGAGAGTGGGGTCATTCAACACCCTTGGTGATTCTCCTTGAGCTGCGTCACCCACCAAACGGCGATGGACTTCCGCTGCAACTTCCATAGTATGTTCTTCATCGATTTTGCTTCGTCGCCGTGTTGTCTCCCTGTCAATTGTGTCTTGCCTTGGTGTGTGGCAATGGTGCCACGACCGATGCAATCTAGTAACCTACTACGTGTCATACAATGCATAATCCATCAACCGTTTCAAACCACCAAGCCCGTGTTTTGGTCACATCTTTTTCACATTTGCCTCGAAGCGCCAACCAAAGCGTTTCCAAACTGTGCCTCGTGCCGTTTTGCAGCAAGCTTCTGTCTAGCCGCCAGGTCCCCAAGGCAAAAGCCGAGTGGACAAGCGAGACTCATGCTGGGACACATGCCTTTTTTTTACGAGATTTATTCACCTTTGCGGCGCGCTTCACAGTGACTGTGGGAACACCGGGCCAAGACGCCACAACGAACGCAGGAACTGCACATGGTGCGGTGTCGGGGCCAATTTCTGAACGTCCTTGGGCCTGGGTCGGGAGCAGGTGGATTTTTTTTTTGCCCACACCTTTTTCCGCCTGCAACGATGTGTCCGGTCCCCTCCCCGGGTTACCCTACTGAGGTGACCCGGGCCGCCGATCTGCGAGTCCCTCCGAAGCAAGGTGCAGAACCGTCACCGCAGCGGCAGCCTGCTGGCCCTTGGCGTTGGGCAGTGAGGGCCTGGTCCATACGCCTAAGGCAGCACTGCAAGCCGCGCGCTGGACAGCAATCGCCAGAGACCCCCACCAGCACCTTGCCCAGCCCTGCGCGGATGCTCCGCGCAACGTGGCGGGAGCGCGGTGTGCTCGCAAGGCAACGAGGCGTTGCACAAGACGCTGCGAATCGTCGTTCCAGCGACCACCTATCTCGGCAGCGAGAACACACAAGCGGTGCGGGCCACCACGGGCGAGCTCCGGGTAGCGGGCAAGCTTGCGTCGACGAGCCGTGGCAAGTGCGACCCCGTCGCGCTCCGGCGCTCCAGCTACTGGGCTGCCATCGCGTCTGATTGGCGCCACCAAGGTGGCATCGCAGCAGAGGGCCTCGCCTCGCGCGGCTGCATCGGACCCGCTCTCGAAAAGAAGTGTGAAGTGCGAGAGCAGCATCCCTTTGCCGGCCATGAGCCCATACGCCTGGCTCGCCCAGTGCCGCCTGCGGCGGTGCAGGTCGCAGGCACGCTTCCCAAGGAGGCCGTTCCGTCAAACCATGGCCATCAAGGTGGATGCCTGCGGCCGCGGCAGCCTGGAGGCTGGGCGCCGCAGCCTGGCTTCCTGATTGGAGTTCTTGCAGGCAGCGCTAGGCCGCTTCGGGGCAACGCTGTTGCAACACAGGGAGTGAGTCAGCCCACGCAGCCCAGTATGCTGCAGGTGACAGGCGCTCTGCGTGCATTAGGCCCAGACCTCCGAGGGAGGCCGGAAGGAAGGCGATGTCACGTGCCTGGCTCTGCGTCTGTTCGTCGTCCCCTGCACGGCCCCCGAGCATGTCCTGAAGTGTTTGCCACACCTTGTCGTCGTGCGCGCGCGCATACTCCGCAATGGCTGTCGGAGGCACAGTTCGCAGGAGGCCCGCGAGGCGGCGCAAAACAAGAGTAGGAGCCAAGGACAGCTGTCCGGGCCACATGTCCGGGCTGTCCGGGCCAAAGTCCTGGGCGTCCGGGTTGGGGGAACCAAAATGACCCTTTTACCCGCAACAGCTACAGGCAGGGGAATTGTTGGCGGCGTTTTTGGATGACATCTACGTCGTGACGANNCCGGGTACGGTTGGAAGCGGTCACCGGCACCATCGAGCGCCAGGCCGGCGTGGCGGCCAACCTAGGCAAAACACGTGTCTACAATGCCCAGGACGGCCCCGCGCCACCGGGCATAAGCGAGCTCGGTGCGGACGTCTGGTGTGGCGACAAGCCACCTTCGGAGCGCAGATTCCTCGCTTTGGGCGTGCCAAT